TTTCATCAGGGATTTTTGTACAACCATAGAGATCTTATTAATGTGTGTGTGTATACCATAGAAATTAAAGCTTAAAAACATTGTCTTTGAGTGTGTACTTTACATAGGCCTACTTCAAAAACGTGATTTCACAACCACCTCAGCCCCACCATGGCTGGGGCTGAGGTGAGAAAATTTGAGGAAATAGTACCTCTCGGGATGGCCGGAAATGACACTTTTATATAGTAAAATTCATCATCAGCACATTACCATTATAGTCAAAATGAAACGCCAATAAATTTCTCATGATCTTTTATCAGGAATCTACTTAATATCCAGGACAACTTAGGCCTAATTATAGCTTACTAAGCTTTAACTATATATACTATAGTATGATCAACAAATCATAAGTTTTTTTCGCATTTAGCACAATTTTTTTCTCTTTTTATTGCTATTAATATTATTATCAATTATTACTATCGTCATCATCATCATTGTTATTATTATTATTACTATTAGTAGTAGAATTATTAAACAAACATGATCTGTTATCAGGGATTTTTGACAACCATAGAGATCTTATTAATGTGTGTGTGTGATATACCATAGAAAAAAACATAGAAAAAAAAAGCTTAAAAACATTGTCTTTGAGTATGTACTTTACATAGGGCTACTTCAAAAACGTGATTTCACAACGTCCTCAGCCCCACCATTTGAGGAAATAGAACCTCTCGAGATGGCTGGAAATGATACTTTTATATAGTAAAATTCATCATCATCACATTACCATTATAGTCAAAATGAAACGCCAACAAATTTCTCATGATCTTTAATCAGGGATCTACTTAATATCCATGACAACTTAGGCCTAATTATAGCTTACTAAGCTTTAACTATATATACTATATTATGATCAAACAAATCACAACTTTTTTTCGCATTTAGCACAAATTTCTTCACTTTTTATTGTTATTAATATTAATATCAATTATTCCTATTGTCATCATCATCATTGTTATTATTATTATTACTATTAATAGTAGTATTATTAAACAAACATTTAAAGAAACTTGCAAAAGGATAAAATCGAAATTGAACCACAGTATCGCATTTCTATCTTAAAAGACCTGGCCTGAGATTTATGGATTTAAGGTTTATTTTAATCACGCTAAGGCTTAAGTGTTCTATTATGCCTATGTATAACGTGTACTGATGCATTTTTACATGTTTAGAAGTATTCATTTTGAGTGATCCCAGGAAGAATTTTTATTGGCTCAAAGAACAA